GTCTTTTGCCGAGTTGCTCTTTCCGGTTTGTCTGGTTTTTCTGGTTTCCCCTGCGGTAGTTTCTTGCTCCAAAACGGATCATTGCCCTGATTACACAGACACTGATATTAAACAAAGACCAGATATATCATTAACAGATTCAGCAAAAAGAAAAATCAAAGTCTTACAGCTGGCGGTTTGTTGGTGGCACAGAAGGGAAGCAGGTCGTTTCTAGCACAGACGTGTTCCGGTTCATTCAGCATCTTATTCACAGCCTCTGTGATTTCTTCATCGGTGAGTTGGATTTTGGAATGTCGCAGTGGGTCATCAACACTGCCAGTATACTCGCACATCAAACCGGAGCGCTGACTAAGGGGTAGTACACTCCATGATATCCAACAGCGAGCGAGATCAACCCATGTTAAATCGTTGGCCATAAAGGCTCTGAGCTTTGATAGTTGAGGAGCATATTTGCTTCTCTCCTGTGCAGTCAATCTTTGTGGAAAAGGGTGTGTATTGCTGAGCCGCTCCGGACGAAAGCCAGGCAAGGGATTCTCACCAGTAGGGGAGGTGTCTTTGCAGTAGAACCATGTCTGATTCCATTCTTTGGGGTGGCTATGCAGTTTGGCGTGAGGGTATGTGACCTCTTTCCTTTTCTGAATCGCCACGCCACCCAACTCTGTATTGGAGCCGTCAGTAAACTCAGTACGGCGGTTTAGATGAAAGAGGTCTCTGAACAATTCCACTGTGGGCTCCTCTTGAAAGAACGCTTCACAGAGCACTTGGAAGTGACACATATTTGTAACAGAGTTGGGGCCAGTATCTTGTGGATGGAGCTAGAAATCGTCTAAAACATCCCAGTAAAATTTAGAGCCGGGCGACTTAAAGCCCCGGGCTAAGTGATCTACGAAAACAAGAACCTCTCCTTCTCGAGGTGTGGGAGGGCATTCTTTGCCAGGAGCCCTCCAATGGATGGTATCTTTGCTGCCTAAAGCGCCAATCAGGACTAAATCATCCAGTTGAGCCTCTGTGACGCGAGAAGGAACCCAATTGCACTCACACACTTGCTTGGCCATGATGGAATCTACAAGGTAGAAGATCCCGGTTCAAAAATGCATTTGATCAAGATACATTGGTATGGGCACTGTTAAACCGGAGACAGAACTATCTGAACCGGAGTTTTATGAAGCAACAAGCATCTGGCGGTTCAATAAGGGGACTAATGGCATATACCGGTTTGGAAAAAATTTCTATAAGGTTAAACCGCCTGATCTAAGCATTGCGGATGGACAAGTACGCAGAAACAGGTTTCACAAGATTTCCTTATAGCATTGGATCTGAAGCAAGTTCAGAAAAGAGATAAATACTTAGAGGTTCAAAGGAGCAGTACCGAACCAATGAGCAAAACGTTCATATAGATCTATGGTTTGAGATGCATAAGTGAAGGCAAAGGTCAAACAACTATCATTGCACATAGTAAAGATTTGCGGATTCATCTAAAGATCTATCGTATGAGCAAGAGGCAGACGATGAACACTGAAGAACTGTGAAATCCTAGGTTAGATCTGCGTGGGAAAGGATAGAAGATTTACCGGAGCTGAGGAAGATGCGGAAGGTTGCCGCGATGCTCTGGTGCGCTCAGGTTGATGCAGCGGCCAAGGATGAGGCAGAGGTCGACGGCGGGGGCGGAGCTCCGAGGCTGGCAACGCGAGGAAGACGAAGAAGGCACGGAAGGAGAAAAGAAATGACCCTTCGGTCCTATTTATAAGGCGAAAGAACATGAGTCAGGCGCGACAATCAAGGGGCCACAAAACGGAGTTGTCGCCTCGATTTCCACTGATCTATTAAACAAAGAAGCATAATGGATAGCTTCGTTATGACAGGTGACGTCACTCCAGTTTACAGCAATCAGAGAAGATGACATCATGGCGGTTTACCAATTTATAAGAAGATGTTGAAGATGAAGCTTTTATTAAAGGATTGACATGAACCCGTTCAAATCAATCTGGGGCCTAATGTTGGGAATATTACTACTGGGTGTAAACCGGCCTATCTGGGCCGGGTTAACTTGGTTAGTAGTTAAATATGTTAAAGCCCAAGAAGACAGAGGAGGGCTCAAGGCCCATGGTCGGTTGAAGGCCTGTAGCCGTAAACCGGCGTTAGTAGTTAACTTGTATTGTAAGTTAGGAATAAGTAGAGACCAAACCGGACACATCTATGAGCCGGTATTGGGACTCCATAAAGCCGACGGGAGTCACCCGTGTATATAAGGGGACGACCCGGCGGCGGTTCAAGGACAACAGACAACAACTCGAGACATAGGCGAAGCTTGTTTGCTCCCTAGTCATCGAAACCCCATCAATTCCATCACAACTAGACGTAGGCTTTTACCTTCATTGAAGGGGCCGAACTAGTATAAACTCTCTTGCGTCCCTGTGTCCGCTTTAACCCCTTCAAGCTAACCCGTCGCGATGGCTCCACGACTAAGTCCTTTCTCTAGGACATCTGCCGTGACAAAACCACGACACATACCAAGGGAAGTCCAAACAAGATGAAACTTTTTGATAATTTTTTTAGACAAGAAGACACCCTGTAAGGTTCGGGAGGAGGCCAGCATACGTAAGAGGGAGCGACAAGGTAGGGGGCGCGCCCGGTGCCTTGTGGCACCCCTTTTGCTTTGATTGACCTAATTCAAACACTATGAAGTCCCATATATCCAGAAACCCCCAGGGGAGGTCCCAAAACAATTCTTCCGCTGCTGCAAGCCTCTGTTCTTCCACGATCCCATCTGAAGGCCTTATCAGGTACTCTGTTAGGGGGAATTCATCATGGAGGCCATCTTCATCAACCTTGCTGCCTCCATGATGATGTGTAATAACAGGACCTACGGGTCCATAACAGTAGCTAGATGGATGTCCCTCCCTCTCTCTCTCGCTCTCTCTCTCTCTCTCTCCCTCTCTCTCTCTCTCTTGATATTCAATACAATGATCCCATCTAAGATGAATGTGATGTTTAACTTTTGCAGTGTGTTTGTTGTGATCTGATGAATTATGGGTTTATGATCAAATTATTCATTGAAAGTATTTGAACCTTTTTTGAGATTTATCAATGTGTGATTTTATAGTCTTCTATTTCTACCCGATCAATCTCTTATGGCCAATTAGATTGATTTATTTTAGTGGGAGAGGTGTTTGGCAGTGGGTTCAAATCTTGCGGTGTCCTTACTCTGTGGTAAGAGGAGTTGCAAGGTACATATTTGTATTGTTGCTACTAAGGGTAAAACGATGGGGTTCGAACATATTATTTGGTATTACTTTGTCTATATTATGTCATCTTGCTTCAAGCATCACTCTATTTTTTATGGACTTAATACTTTGAGATGCATGTTCGATAGTGGTCTTGGGGTGGAGTAATAGTAGTAGATGCAGATGGATGTGAGTCTACTTATATTGGACGTAATGCCTATATATTGATCATGCCATGAAGAATCATCATAACTATGCGCTATTATGTGAATAGCCCAACAATAATTTGTTTACCCACCGTTGATATGCTCATCAGAGAGATGCCTCTAGTGAACGCTATGGCCCCCAGGTCCATTCACTTCACTAAAACCCTAAAAATACTTGCTACAATTTATTTACTTTTTATGCTATCTATCTACCACTATCAGATTTAATCCTTGCAGTTAATGAGTACAAGTGGATTGACAACCCTCTTGCCCGCGTTGGGTGCAAGTGTTTTCTTTGTGTTTGTGCAGGTACCGCTTATCTTGTTTGTGTGGTGTCTCCTACTGGTTTGCTAACCTTGGTTCTTAACCGAGGAAAATACTATCTGCTACTATACTACATCACCCTCCTCTTTAGGGAAATCCCAACACCAATCACAAGTAGCAGCGCCGCATCGCCTTCCCCCCAGCCACATTGACGCTTTGGCGTCTCAAGGAGGCCATTCCTATATCATCTAGTTGCTGGCGAGCCATCAGATTGTTTGCTCCATGTTGCACACAAGGTGTTCGACGGAATTCCTACAAGGTAAAATACTGTTGTGCTTTTCTTTGCATATGTAGTTATACACCGAAGATTGAGCTTAATAGTGAGTTTCGAGTGTACAAGAGTTGATGTGACTCCAACTTTTCCGATGATACCTCGTTGGAGAGGAGTATGAAGAGGAGGAGGGAGATATTGCATTGATCTTGACAATGCACAAGAACAAGAGCCCGAAGCATGGCAGTTCCGTCTTTAGCCGCGAGTTTTTATGGAGAGAATGGAAGAGGCGCATGGCCGATTGATGCACAACTACTTTGGGCAGAATACTCGTTCCAGTGAGGTACTTTGAATGATCAAGTCTTTCGAGAGGTCCCGCGGGCAAGATTTGAATTACACCGTGCGGTCAATTAGAAGGCAAGACCAAATTGAACGCTTTTTGGAGGTATACCATCACATTATAGATGTAGATACACGTGATGATCTTCAAAAAGATCTCATGGAGAAGTGGTGGACATGATATGGGAATTATCAGTCCTAGTTGTATCTCTATGTTTGTTATATTTGTGTGATGAACTTTGTTGTATTGTGTGCTGAAAAAGACTTTGTTATTATGTTTCATGAACAATTTGTGTTGCATTTGATGTTGTGGGTTTGAATGATAAACTATGTAGTAATTTGATCGTGTGGATTGATAGAATTATTATTATGTATGTTTTGGCATATTTAAGTCATGTTTGATATTATTTGTATGCAATATGCATGTTATTTGAGATGGAAAGTGCAGATGCCGCTGTTGTGGCAGCTGTTGGAGATGACCCATATTTATGCAAAAAATATATTTTTCGTGCCAGTTTTTTTTTCTCAAACCTTTTTGGGTGCCTATGGAGGTGCTCTAATGCTGAACATAAGGTTTTGTAAGTGCCTTAACATAAGTTTTTACATGCACTGCATACTATAGCTAGTATATCTTGATTCCATAATTCTTAATTTCTCAAATTGCCACATAACACAAACACATAAACTGTTTCATGTTCATTCTGCGCCTCCCATTTCCACAACGATCTTGCCAGTGGCATGCCCCTCCATGCTCTTAGCCCAGGCCTCCTGCGCTCTGCTCAGCGGGTGCCGCGAGTCCACCGTCGTCCTGAGCTTCCCCTGCCTAGCCAAGCCCACCAGCCACTCCATCTCCTCCCGCTTGGGCGCCAGCATCAGCGGCGCCAGCCTCTTCTTGGCGAAGGTCGCCTTCTGCAGGATCGACGTGAGCGCGGCGCCGACCCCCGGCGTGACGTCCGCCACCGTGCCGCCCTCGTCGGCCAGCACCGCCTTGAGCGCCGGCCACGGCACCCCCGCCGCGCAGTTCGCCACCGCGTCGTACCTCCTGCCCGACGGGCTCCGCAGGGCCGCGCCCTCGGGCGTCCCGTAGTCCAGCACCTCGTCGGCGCCCAGGCCCCGGACGAAGTCCACGTTGCGCGCGCCGCAGGTGGCCGTGACGTGGAGGCCTGCGAGCTTCGCGAGCTGCACGGCGTAGTGGCCCACGCCGCCCGAGGCCGCGGTCACCAGCACGTTCTTCGGGCCGGTGGTGCCGGAGGTCCCGTCGAAGCTGACCCCGGCGAGCTTGAGCAGCTGCAGCGCGGAGCCTCCGGCGGCCGGCAGGCAGGCGCCTTCGACGGCGGACACCTCCGGCGGCCTCGCCACCGTGAGCGACGCCGGCGCCACCGCGTACTCGGCGAGCCCGCCGCCGCTCTGCACAGTACAGGCAACGGGTCTCGAGCGTGTCAGAAGCAGAACATTAAGATTTTGACTGTTGGGTAGTACAGACGGAATGGTAGCGTGGCACCATGGCGGTGAATGCGTTGTCTTTGCTTACCGGGAAGCTGATGGAGATGACCTTGTCTCCCGGCTTGAAGTTGGTCACGCCGCTGCCCAGCTCCACCACCTCGCCGGCCAGATCGCCCACTGCATGTTTCGCCATGGCAAGAATTCTTGCATGAGCATTGAGCATCCAGTATACATGTGGAATTTGATGCAGTGCCCATGTAAAAGGGTCCATCAGTCTGTATCAGCCTGTTTTAGTCTGCATTCAAGTCATTTTCCCTTCTCAAACTGTCTACGTTCAAGTAGTTTTATCTAGAATCGGGAGCAACTGCTTGAATTGGTACGGATTTTAGAAGCTTGTTTCGTTTCTGATTCAGCAGCAGAGAACTAACAGTGGAATCAAAAAAGTTCACTCCTCAAGAAAAAGAAAAAAATCAGTAGGAAGCAGAGCATGATAGTTGTGACAGGGGGACGGGATCATAATCACTAGCCAAACGATATCGAGGGGGTTTAATCAGCCTTCAAGCCGGTAGGTATCCTGCGACTTTCATCTCTGTTTGGGGATTATTGCCGCAACCAAGTCTGAATTGGGCAGCCATGTCTCGGTCTGAAGCTAGTTACCTGGCGTGAAGGGGAACTTGCCGGGGAGGAAGGGGCGGAGCATGCCCTTCTGGATCTTCCAGTCGATGGGGTTGATGCTGGCCGCCTCCATCTTCAGCAGCACCTCGCCCTTCTTCGGCGACGGCACCGGCACCTCCACATGCTGTCCATGAAATTCACCATGGTGTTATTAGTCGGCCAGTTCCATCAGTGAACAAACACATCGAAGAAGAAGACGAGATGATTTTCAGCTCAGTTGTGCACACAGAGAGATCGTACCTTGAGGCCTTCAGCTCCACCGCCATACTTGTCGTACTGCACGGCTCTCATCGTCCTCGGGGTCGCCATGGCAGCGCCGTGTCCCCGCGTGCGAGAGAGAGAGAGAGAGAGAGAAAGGAGAAAGAGAGAAGGACGAGGGTACTGCTGGTGGGCGGTGTGGTGTGTAATGCGCTGATGCTGATATGGTTGGCCCTTGTGGACGGGACGTGTCCGTACTCGCTGTAGCCTGCTGAACCATCACCAACAACAACGTGTCCAACGTGTCCGGATGCCGCAGAGTGTGCCGTAGTGGTGACGCTGCCCATGTTTCGCCAGGGCTTTTCTTTTCCTGTTGCTGTTTCCCCCCTGCCTGTCTGCAGGCTTGACGCTTCAGCATCTGTTGGTCTATAGATCTTTTTTTGTAGGAACTCTAAAATATAGAATATTATTGAAAAATATATTCTCTGAAAGCTCTTTGGTTTATATATAGGAATATATTTATATTTCTACGTATAGTGTAAAAATATGGTCTTACATTTCGGACGAAGCGAGTAGGATAGAAACAAAATTTTCACATTTCTAAAGGAAAAAAGACATTAGCCTAGACCCAATAAAAATGTTCTTAAACTATGAATCAAATGTCACATCTTTTCTTATAAAAACTAAGATACATGTAATCTCACTTTCTATAATTTTTCATGGTATTCCTACCCGTCCTGAGAGAGGAGTTCCAGTGGTGGAACAAACCCGTACCTCGCGTGGCACGGTGGCTACAAAGGGGCCTCGCCACGCAGTGTTTTTCTACTCCCCCAATGGATTTTCTCAAAAACTGCGCGAAGCAACATGGCCTTCGTCGTAAGGGGCTATGCCAAATCACACTATTATGAATTGTTTGGGATGTTTAGCCATTTAGTTTGCACCCTTTTGAATGTGTGGTAATTATGATTTATTAGGGTGATCTTTCATATTAAAAATATCAAGAAGTTAGTGTTTGCTACCTCTTGAGCACTGCGTTGGTTTTTCCCGAGGAGGAAGGGATGATGCAACAAAGTAGCGTAAGTATTTCCCTCAGTTTTTAAGAACCAATGTATCAATCCAGTAGGAGGCTCCGCGCCAATCCCTCGTACCTGCACAAAACAAATAAATCCTCGCAACCAACGCGATAAGGGGTTGTCAATCCCTACACGGCCACTTACGAGAGTGAGATCTGATAGATATGATAAGATAATTCTTTTGGTATTTTTGTGATAAAGATACAAAGCAAAATAAAAAGCAAAGGAAATAACTAAGTATTGGGAGATTAATATGATGAAGATAGATCCGGGGGCCATAGGTTTCACTAGTGGCTTCTCTCGAGAGCATAAGTATTCTTTAATGGGTGAACAAATTACTGTTGAGCAATTGACAGAATTGAGCATAGTTATGAGAATATCTAGGTATGATCATGTATATAGGCATCACGTCCGAGACAAGTAGACCGACTCCTGCCTGCATCTACTACTATTACTCCACTCATCGACCGCTATCCAGCATGCATCTAGAGTATTAAGTTAATGAAAATAGAGTAACGTCTTAAACAAGATGACATGATGTAGAGGGATAAACTCATGCAATATGATGAAAACCCTATCTTGTCATCTTCGATGGCAACAATACAATACGTGCCTTGCTGCCCCTACTGTCACTGGGAAAGGACACCGCAAGATTGAACCCAAAGCTGAGCACTTCTCCCATTGCAAGAAAGATCAATCTAGTAGGCCAAACCAAACTGATAATTCGAAGAGACTTGCAAAGATAACCAATCATACATAAAAGAATTCAGAGAAGATTCAAATATTATTCATAGATAGACTTGATCATAAACCCACAATTCATCGGTCTCAACAAACACACCGTAAAAAGAAGATTACATCGAATAGTTCTCCACAAGAGAGGGGGAGAACATTGTATTGAGATCCAAAAAAAGAGAAGAAGGCATCTAGCTACTAACTATGGACCCGTAGGTCTGAGGTAAACTACTCACACTTCATCGGAGGGGCTATGGTGTTGATGTAGAAGCCCTCCGTGATCGATGCCCCTCCGGCGGAGCTCCGGAACAGGCCCCAAGATGGGATCTCGTGGATACAGAAAGTTGCGGCGGTGGAATTAGGGTTTTGGCTCCGTATCTGATCGTTTGGGGGTACGTAGGTATATATAGGAGGAAGGAGTACGTCGGTGGAGCAATAGGGGGCCCACGAGGGTGGAGGCCCCCCTACCTCGTGGCCTCCTCTTTTGTGTCTTGACGTAGGGTCCAAGTCTCCTGGGTCTTGTTCGTTGAGAAAATCATGTTCCCGGAGGTTTCAATCCGTTTGGACTCTGTTTGATATTCCTTTTCTTCGAAACCTTAAAACGGGCAAAAAAACAACAATTCTGGGCTGGGCATCCGGTTAATAGGTTAGTCCCCAAAATAATATAAAAGTGAATAATAAAGCCCAATAATATCCAAAACAGTAGATAATATAGCATGGAGCAATCAAAAATTATAGATACGTTGGAGACGTATCAAGCATCCCCAAGCTTAATTCCTGCTCGTCCTCGACTAGGTAAATGATAAAAACAGAATTTTTGATGCAGAGTGCTACTTGGCATAATTTTAATGTAATTCTTCTTAATTGTGGTATGAATATTCAGATCCGAAAGATTCAAGATAAAAGTTTCATATTGACATAAAAATAATAATACTTCAAGCATATTAACAAAGCAATCATGTCTTCTCAAAATAACATGGCCAAAGAAAGTTATCCCTACAAAATCATATAGTCTGGCTATGCTCCATCTTCAGCACACAAAATATTTAAATCATGCACAACCCCGATGACAAGCCAAGCAATTGTTTCATACTTTTGGTGTTCTCAAACTTTTTCAATCTTCACGCAATACATGAGCGTGAGTCATGGATATAGCACTATAAGTGGAATAGAATGGTGGTTGTGGAGAAGACAAAAAAGTGAGAAGATAGTCTCACATCAACTAGGCGTATCAATGGGCTATGGAAATGCCCATCAATAGATATCAATGTGAGTGAGTAGGGATTGCCATGCAACGGATGCACTAGAGCTATAAGTATATGAAAGCTCAACAAAAGAAACTAAGTGGGTGTGCATACAACTTGCTTGCTCATGAAAACCTAGGGCATTTTGAGGAAGCCCATCATTGGAATATACAGGCCAAGTTCTATAATGAAAAATTCCCACTAGTATATGAAAGTGATAACATATGAGACTCTCTATCATGAATATTATGGTGCTACTTTGAAGCACAAGTGTGGTAAAAGGATAGTAACATTGTCCCTTCTCTCTTTTTCTCTCATTTTTATTTTATTTTATTTGGGCATTTTCTCCTCTTTTTTTAATGGCCTCTTTTCTTTCTCTTCCCTTTTTTTTTATTTTTCGTCCGGAGTCTCATCCCGACTTGTAGGGGAATCATAGTCTCCATCATCCTTTCCTCACTGGGACAATTCTCTAATAATGATGATCATCACACTTTTATTTTTCTTACAACTCAACAATTACAACTTGTTACTTAGAACAAAATATGACTCTATATGAATGCCTCCGGCGGTGTACTGGGATATGCAATGAATCAAGAGTGACACGTATGAAAGAATTATGAATGGTGGCTTTGCCACAAACACGATGTCAACTATATGATCATGCTAAGCAATATGACAATGATGGAGTATGTCATAATAAACGGAATGGTGGAAAGTTGCATGGCAATATATCTCGGAATGGCTATGGAAATGCCATAATAGGTAGGTATGGTGGCTGTTTTGAGGAAGGTATATGGTGGGTGTATGATACCGGCGAAAGGTGTGCGGTATTAGAGAGGCTAGCAAAGGTGGAACGGTGAGAAAAGTGTGTATAATCCATGGACTCACCATTAGTCATAAAGAACTCATATACTTATTGCAAAAATCTACAAGTTATCAAAGCAAAGTATTACGCGCATGCTCCTAGGGGATAGATTGGTAGGAAAAGACCATCGCTCGTCCCCGACCGCCACTCATAAGGAAGATAATCAAAAAATAAATCATGCTCCAACTTCATCACATAATGGTTCACCATACGTGCATGCTACGGGAATCACAAACTTTAACACAAGTATTTCTCAAATTCACAACTACTCAACTAGTATAACTCTAATATCACCATCTTCATATCTCAAAACAATTATCAAGCATCAAACTTCTCATAGCATTCAACACACTCATAAGGAAGTTATTTTACTATTCTTGAATTCCAAGCATATTAGGATTATTTAAGCAAATTACCATGCTATTTAAGACTCTTAAAATAATCTAAGTGAATCATAAGAGACCAATAGTTTCTATAAAACAAATCCACCACCATGCTCTAAAAGATATAAGTGAAGTACTAGAGCAAAACTATATAACTCAAATGATATAAGTGAAGCACATAGAGTATTCTAACAAATTCCAAATCATGTATGGCTCTCTCAAAAGGTGTGTACAGCAAGGATGATTATGGTAAACTAAAAATTAAAGACTCAAATCATACAAGACGCTCCAAGCAAAACACATATCATGTGGCGAATAAAAATATAGCTCCAAGTAAAGTTACCGATAGAAGTAGACGAAAGAGGGGATGCCTTCCGGAGAATCCCAAGCTTTGGCTTTTAGGTGTCCTTAGATTATATTGGGGGTGCCATGGGCATCCCCAAGCTTAGGCTCTTGCCACTCCTTGTTCCATCATCCATCAAATCTTTATCCAAAACTTGAAAACTTCACAACACAAAATTCAAAGTAGAAAATCTCCTGAGCTCTGTTAGCGAAAGAAAACAAAAGACCACTTCAAGGTACTGTAATTAACTCATTATTTATTTATATTGGTGTTAAACCTACTGTATTCCAACTTCTCTATGGTTTATAAACTATTTTACTAGCCATAGATTCACCAAAATAAGCAAACAACACACGAAAAACAGAATCTGTCAAAAACAGAATAGTCTGTAGTAATCTGTAGCTAGCGCAAGATCTGGAATCCCAAAAATTCTAAAATAAATTGCTGGACGTGAGGAATTTATCTATT